TTTTTTACAGCAACAAGTCATGACTCCTTCTGGCAATCCTGGACGGATTAGCATACCGAGCTGAGAACGATCGAGAAAGATTATCCGGTTCTGCCCAGCTCATCTCCTGATCGAAATTTTGCGAGTACTCATCAAGGGCATAAGAAGACTGGAATGTAGCACCAGGTGAACAGAAGATTTTTTTCTTCTCCCTTGTGATCTTGGTCCAAAATATTCTCCATCTTGCCCTGGCACGGTGATCATTTTCTTCTCGCTGGTGGTTGTTCTTCCCCAATGTGATGGTTTCTCTTCTGGTGTTTTGCCACATTAATTTGATTCCCATGGCGAAGACAATGAACAGGAGCTTCGATGTGTTCTGCCTCAACTCCAGTCCTCAAGCTCTCTCCAGGCAGGCAGGATTGGACGAGCTAAGGTTTATATCATGCGCGTAACTGACTTTGTCGATGTTTATTGAAACCCAGGTGGATTTGGCACGTGATACATCTCAGCTTGGCTTGGCTTGACTTGGCTCTATAAATGATGAAATTAAACAGCTTTAACTTGAAACTTTTTTTTTTCTTTTCAAATTTACCTCCATTTAGGTATTTATGTATATTTTTTGTATACATACAAAAAAAATTCGATTTTGAAATCTTACAAGAAGGATACATCAGTTAGTAACTTTGCTATGAGTGAATCATTAATCAAATTTCATTTAATTTAATAAATTGTTCTGTCACTTTGTGAAGTAGTTGTATTCCTCTTTATATTGATTAATATTTTCCCAAGGCCCCTTCCAAATCACAAAATTGCCAAATAGTATTGAAATTTTTATAGGTCAGCTGGAGCCTGTAAAGCCGTGGCTGCTCAAGTTTGAGAAAATTCAAGAGGGTCTAAAAATGAAGACCGTCGAGAGAGTCATCATTTGGGGCGGCGTGCTGAGGTTGCTGAAGCTGAAGTCTGACTTTTATATAAAAAAGGGGAGAACGTCTAGAATAACTCATTAAGATGGTCAGCATTGGTGGGAGAGGGGACCCATAAGCCATAATAGAGAAGAGAGAAAAGAGAAGGAAGGCCCCTTTGAAAGTTCAAGGATTTGAAAATTTTCTAATGAAAGATATTTTTTTTTATAAAGACAATGATTAGTAAGTTAATATTGTTAAATGTTAGTAATTGGGGATTCGATCTCCAGATTTAACAAACAGTCCACCAGCCTCAATGAGACGAACAGTCCACCGACCTCAATGAGGCGCGCGGCCATCAAGCCGCTTAATGGAGTTATGAAAGATTCATTTTTAGTTAATTGAAGACAAATTGCAGCTATTTTGTTTCCCATATTCGAAATTTTCCAATTAAAGGGTATTCTTTTTCGGGCCATTTTCTGGCTTTATGTCCCCATCTTGTGAATGCAATTTTGGGAGGGCAGAGTCTGAAAGGGACCCTCTTATGCAACTGACATTCATGAATCATGAATATTTTGACCAGAAAAATATGGCCAATTCTAGGCACATCGGATGTGGCCTGGGGCCCAAGGTTACTGTTGCTGCTGCAAGACCCGTATGACTCAGCCAAACACCAAACAGCAACAACAAATGAAAGTGGTAAACACATCATTCTTCAACAACAAAAGCCAATGATAATTTGTGGCAAAAAGAGAAGAATGATAATTGAACGGGTGAAATTTATCGCAAAATGATGTTTTGCAGTATGCTTTGCACTGACAGATCCACGATTAGTGAGCCAGCTTCTGGTCCCACAAAAACCCATGGATCATGGGGGCTCATCTGTTGCAATCCATGCAGAATGAAAAAAATTTCAACCAGGAGAACTGCATAATACATGTAGGGATACATTACACATACATATATATATACATATATATATATGACACCAAAACCTTTCATAGGAATTAAGAATTTCTAACATTAAATTAAGGATAACAAAATGATGGTTTTATGCAAAGAGTACTTGACTAGGTTCTTGGAATTCAAGTTACTAAGAAGAAAGGAGCACCATGTTCAGGAAAAGGGAGCATTTCGATTCTGCGAGTTGGTGATGGACCTCAATTTTTCATAAGCATTAGAGCATGCATGAGCGTAGTCTGACATTGCACGAAATAGCTCAGGCAGCCGGAGTTCGAGACTTCTCAGAGACTTATCTCTTGCTTGGAGACAATGTTTTTTGTAAACTTCAATTTCCTCTTCCAATCTCTTCTTCAAGCTCTCAACTGCAAATTGCCTCTCAAATACAGGATCTTTAGTATTTGCTTCTTCGCCTCTTTCAGCATCTGTTTCATCCGATGGAGTTCTCCTCTGCATGTACTTTTGATACCAGTCATGGAATGCCTGGTTCTTGCGTAAATACTCCTTCCTGGTTTCCTCACACTTCTCCTTCAGCTTCATCTCTTCATCTTGGTGATGAATTATGGTTTCTATCACAGCAGCAAATGAAGAAACTGCAGACTTTGCAACTTCATCAGGTAGCCTTCCAAGATAGTCATGCCATGCATGGAGGAGTGGCTCAATTGGAGGATTCTGCACTCTTGGTGGGGATGAGATTTTCTCTTTTAGGCTGCTTTCAATAGGGATGAGATTTAACTTCAACCAACTGTTAAGACCTTGGATATATTGTTTTTGATGTGTCACAAGCTTGTCAAATTGGGAATGCCATTCTTGGACAACCTTGTAAAGTTGGATGGTGCGCTCATGGTGGTGCTTTGTAGTTTCTTTAGGAGCATGGGCAATATCAAGGCTTTTATGGTCTGTAACAATCTTCAGCTGACTAGCATGATGCTCGTACATACTTCTCCACATTTTGGCCATCCTATGGTCCATATGACAAACATATACTGTCATGATCAGAGCAATACTGATATTTTTTTTAATGAGATTTTACTAAGAAAATCTTACCCCTCTACAAGCCCAACAAGTTTTGGATATAACTGCTCATCACGCAATCGGTTTACTTCTGACACAGTTGAATCCATGGATTGCATGTCAACTATGTATCTTGTATGCAGATGACTTACAGCTGCTTTTGTTTTCCCCAAGGATTCAGCACTTGCACCACGCTTCTTTTGCTTGTTTAACAAAGCAACTTTCCTTCTATACTCGAGTTTCATCAGCTCCCCTTGCTATCACATCCACATGAAACCAAATTCCAATAGGACTTCATAAACAATTGTAACAAGAAAAATAATTGCCAAGTGATACCAAAATTCAGTTCAATTATTCAGTGTAGCAATAGTAAGTTTCCAATATGAGTTGATAAGTTAGAAGGTACAATATAATCACTCTAAACATACATTCTAGGAAAAGTAGTGATTAGCCAAGAAACCTTGCACACTTTACCTTTACTTCATCATAGAGCTTCTTTTCCCATGCTAGCAACTTATCTAAAATGGTGGCATGAGTCTCATATTCTTCTGAATCAAGATCATCCTTCCCACCTTCACCATTGGACATACCACCTCTAAACGACCTGTTCCATGTAATAACCCGCATGACCCTGGCAGAATGATCAATATGTCCTGCAATCAAATACAAAAGATGATCAACCATATGTGTCTAGAGGCATAATGGAATATAGTTTTTATCAAATCGAAGTTACAAGACAAGATTAGAAGTCAAAACCCATTATTTTAATCAACTTGAAAATAAGGCTCTCAGCCTCAGTCCAAGAAAGAACGTTTTCTACTAAGAATGTGATGATAATCTACGTAAAAATAAAATCAGTATAATAAAAGCACCTCAATATTTGTCAACTTTTGGGGTTAAAAGAACAATTGACCAACAAGGAACAACAAATTGTGGTCATCCAAATCGAAGAATAAAGCATTAAAGTAGGAATAAATCTGAGGTTGGTATGATATTCTAATGGAAAGGCAGCCAAATCAAAATAAAAGTTCTCAGCCTTAAAAGTTCCAATGAACCAAAAGCTTCTCAGATAATTTGAAATTAAAAATTGGATCACATCTAAAATGGCTTCAAGCTTTAATCTTTCACACAGCAAACCTTGAATTAACAAATGAAGACTAATTCAAGGAAATCAATCCACCAAGAAACAGTCTAACAGAAATGCACACTGACTGATGCCAACATCCACATCACTTCAAAACAAAGCAAATTCAATTACCTCGATTGTCTGCAAAATTGGAGTGGTAATGCAACCTTGTAGCTTCTAACATCTTGGATACCTCCTGGGCACTCTCAGATGCCTTCAAGAAATGATCGTCAATCTCACTCAAAACCAGCATCAAATTCACAGTAGGCATTGCCTTCACATCCCTCCCGAAATCTGCTGGTGCTGTCTTCGAATGCTCTATCTGTACTGACCGTTTCCCCTTTTCTCTCCTCACTTCTTCATCTGCCTCTGCCATCGCCTTCTGCATGGCTCTATCAGGTGTCTTGGGTTCAATCTCACTGTCGCCATGACCTCCAAAACCCTCGCCGCCATTGTTCCTTGGAACATCATCATGTGTGTTCTCGTGCTCGTTATGGTCGCCCACACCCAAACTTGGTCCAGGCATGTGCTCATCCACCTGAAAGAAGTAGTCCCAAGCCATGTGCTTAGTCTCCGGCATTGGAGGAGTCACAACATTGTTGTTCTTCCAAGTCCGAGGTCGGGTCATCTCCTCAACCCGGGGTTCCTTCGAATCTTTGCTCACACCGTCATTATCATTTCCATGCCCCTCTTCTTCTTCTTCTTCTTCTTCTTCCTCCACCTCACCCTCCTCATTAATCGCGAGAGACGAATCAAACTGCGTCCGGCTCTTGATGGGCACCGCAGGCAAGCTAACAGCGCGCTGAATGGGGGTGGGACTGGGCAAGAAATTCGGGAGCGGAGGAGGCGGAGGGAGGTTATCCACCATCGCCATCGGAGGCGGAGGTGGAGGTTGCAGGGCTGGATCCATCGGAGGGATCTGGGGCTGCTGGTCGTGGAGGGGATTCTCTTGAGCCTCAACGTGGCCGTAATCACTCAAGGCTGCGCCGGTGTTCTTCAGTGACATAGCATAACCAGAGTGACCCGCCGCAAAGGCATTCCGGGCTGTAACGGCCTCCTTCATTAGGATCTTCCGGTCCTTGCATCGAGCCACAGACTCCTCATTATCTATCCTAGACTGCGAACAACCCATTTCTAAAAATGGAAGCTCCGGTCAACTCCAGCTCGGCGTGGGAAGAGAATGGAGAATTACAACGGGTCAGTAGAGAGAAAACGAGGGTTCTGCAGAGAAAAAGAGGAAATGGAGAAGAAGAACAATGGAGCGGGGGGCAATGTCAAGCTAGAAAACAGAGAGGTGAAGAGGGAAGAGTCAAGAGTATAAACGGTTTTGGTGTGAATTGGGTGAGAGTAGGATTTAGCGTCCACTCGCTGTAGTTGATTGCGACGTGTCGTTTTTTTTGATAATTTAGATTAATAACGGTCACATTTTTTAAAGCTACACGACACCGTTTCAACTTTCAAGGATGGTAATCCTGAGAGAATGTAAGGACACAGTTCTAAGGTATGATTGCGGTTTGCGGACCCAAGCTAAAAGACATGACCGTTTGTTTTACCTTTTAAAATACTCCTAAATCAAGTGCTCTATTTTTTTTTTTTTTAATTATTTTACAATTCAAAAATTACAGGCAGTAAAACAATAACCCTTAATCAAAAAACATAAGACGTTCTAATATTGAATCCCTTCTCTTATTTAAGTGTTTTTGTTTTATAATCTAAAACAATTTTGATTATAAAACAACAAACTGTTTTTTCAAAGATATAAATATTTTTTTTCTTCTAATTTAACCATATTAGTTTACATTAACTTTAATTTCATCCTTGGTTTTTCTCCTTTGATCCACAAAAAAAATAAAAATAAAAATAAAAAAGAAGAAGAAGAAAAAAAACACCTCCTTTGTCATATACCCTTCTTGCCAGAAAAACAAAATCATTTGTTACTCTCCAGATTGGGAAAACCTCCATATACCAAACAGACCCTTAACGGGCAGGCAGCAAATGAAATTATAAGAATTATACACAAACAAAATTTCGATTGCAGACACAGGGCCACCCCGGGTTTTCCAATCATGGAGATTAATGAAACCTTTACACATCAGCCAAGATGGAGCAATAGAAGAGTAGAATTCAGGAACACCCTACACCTGATCAGCAGTATGGAGTATGGACCTACTTGCATTCCATCATCCCAAAACTCGGCTGATTCCCAAATGACTCCCATCAGTTTCTGAAAAGCACCACCATGATTTATGGTTATGACCTGGTTTTCCACTAGTTTTACAAGCTACCATCTAATCTTATTTTTCAAGTGGGTCCCTTATTTGGAATTTTTATACTATGTGTTCAAATGTCAAATAATTCATGCAGTTATAACAGAACTAAGCTATTGATGTGTGCCGCCAGATTGCCAATTGCCCACCAAATTAATGAAATGAGAGAATAACTTGATAAAGAAACAGTGAAGATATCATACCCTATCACTGTATCCTCCAAAATGACTGATTGAAGGCAAACTTGACTTTGGTGTGATTGGCTTCAACATTAAAAGGCTTTTGATTCATGATGAATGAACAGGGAGAAGATATTCTACAGCACAGTGGCAGCCCTCTTACAGGTGAATACCTTGAGCTTTTGAAATACTTACCAAAACAGTTGGTTCGTAAAACAAGTCTGCACTCATTTCGACTTTAGTTCAGCCTTGACTTTTCTATATTCCTTCTCTTGTAGCTAAAATAATTCAAGAATGACCAGTTTAGCGAAACAATAAGAGGTAATTAAGAGGTAACAGGCAGCCATATCAATAGAAATTCAATAGTTCAATAAATCTTTAGACAATGTAAGCTTATTACCTCAAATAACTTCTTCCATGAGCATTCTGCTCTTTCTTGCAGTAAGCACCATTCCATGGCCATATCAAATTCAAGTGTGTTGGGCTGGGAGCAATGAGAAGTAGATACAGCTTCTTTCTGCACCCAAAAAAAAAAAAAAAAAAAAAAAAAAAAA